TTTTTTTCAGCCAATTGTTATCGCAATAATTTAGACCTTCCTATATTTATAAATGGTAATGTACTCAATGAATCATCTCCCCTTCATCTTCTAAGATTAACTCTTCTGATTTTTCTTGGAAACCATATATTAAATTGATTGCAAAATTAGCATCTGCTAAAGTTGCATATTTTAATGAGCTCAACACTTTCTTACTCTGAATTCTATTCTCTATCTCTATAAATCTCAAATCTGGCCTTGTATGGAATACTGTTGCCATATCTGGGGCGGATCTTCTAATGATGCCCTTTCTCTTTTAGACAAGGTGCAAAAATGCATTGTAAACATAGTTTGACCTGCTCTTGCTGCCAACCTTTAACCTTTGTCACATCGTCGTAATGTTGCTTCTCTTTCTCTTTTCTACAAATAATATAATGGGCACTGCTCTAAAGAGCTAGCATCCTTTTTCTGCGATTGTTCCTAAGTGCTCTAAAAACTCTTATTTGTCTAGTTTTTTTCGTGGAATTTTTTTGTGGAATTTACTTGCTTCATTTTGCTTTCCTGATTCATATAATTTGCAAGCTTGTAAGTTGTCTGTTAATCGTTATCTTGCTTTACATACTTTATCTTTTCACTTCCAGTAAGTTCCAACTCTAATTAGTTGTTGCTTGCAGCCTTGTTCAGTATTGTTGGAAGCGAAATTTTTTTAAATACAATTATAATTAGTGTATTTTTGATGGTCTATTGTGATTCACATGCAAATATAGGTGATTCATAGCAAACTATAGGTTAATATATATATATATAGGTTTATAATATTTGTTAATGAATGTAGCAAACTATAGGTTTGTATATAAAGTATGAGATTAAAAAAATGACGAAGGAAATTATTTAAATTAACTGTTTTTTATAATTTTTTTAAATTTCTATTTAAAGTTAAGTAATTAAAGAGTTTAATTTTCAAAATTTTTTTATTAATTCTGAAAATTGTTATTGACATTTTAAAAATTTATATATTATTATTATAATTAATTTAATTTATTTAATAACATATTCAAAAGCGGAAAGTTTAAATATTTTATATCAAGTAAAACCTTCATAAGTTAACAGATTTTAGTGGTAGATAAAAATTTCAGAAACTTTAGAATTCATTACTTGAAATAAAATAAAACAGGGTAAAATGAAATAGCGGGTAGAATGAAATAGTTATGACAATGTTTATTCTTTCGCTCATTATTAACTATTGAATAATTTTTTTGTAAATATTTTTTGATTATATTGTATAAAATATTTTTCTGAGTAAGATTGAATAAAATCTTATTTTTAATAAAAAAAAAAATTTGTTATAAAATTACAAGTTTTTGAATGCGAGATTTTTTTTATTTGTTTGAAATAGGAACTTAAAACTCTTGGAAATTAAATTCGGTAACATTGAACTTAAACTATTTACTGGTACAACTTTTTAGGCTGATCAAGAATCTTTTTTCAAAATTAAATATGCTATATAGGAAAAAAAGTTATGAGTTAAAAATGGAAATGGTGTGTTGTGGGGTTAAATGAAATATGCTAATAAATAAATAAATAGGAAGCAATAGCTTATTTCTTAAAAGCGGCTTTTTTTTATTAGGTCTCAAGTGACCAATAAATCTATAACTATAAATTTTTTGCATAAATTAAATGAACAAATTTTTCTAACTGAATTTAAATGACTTTTACTTACTGCTTTTATAAAATGGTTCTAATAAATGAATGAAATACGCTAGTTACTCTCTAGTTCATTGTGGTCACCTTGTCTGCAAATAACCTTCAATATTGTAGTAACTCCAGTTATTCAAAAGGAAATTCAAAAAGAGGTTGCAAAACAACTGCAATCAGCCCAATCACTTGCAGCAGCTTTGCAACAAATGTTTTGTATCCAACACGTTTACACACAAAAAAAGAAAAAATGTAGATGTGCCAAGATTCGAAGGGGAGTGTCTCAACAAACCTGAAATACTTGACAGGTTGAAAAATGCTGAGAGCTAAAATGCAGCAAAGCAAGCTAAAAAACAACGTAAGCTTAGGGGCTGTCCAAATGATGTCAGTGATTTTTATCAATTTTTTGCACCCCCCCTCCTTCCTCTTTGTCAAAATCTGTCAATTTTTGGCTCACCTCCCCTTATATATGATATCAGTTTTAATACCCTCCCTCCCCTCCTCCTAAACTAACATTAAAAATATGTGTTACAGGGATTATCTTTTTCCGGATATTTCCGGAATTCCGGATATTTTTCTCAACTTTTAGTTTTTCCAGATATCAAAAATGTTTGCTATACATACAAGTTTAGGAATATATTTTTGTAATATATTTGCTTTTTAAGCTTTTTCACTCATTACTCATTCAAAAATTAAGAAAAGTTAAAAAAAAAAATTAATACAATTAAGCTAAAATCAAAATTAAGGGAAATATTAGGGAAAATATATTCTGGATATTTTACCCTACCGATTTTCCGGATTTTTAAAATATAAGCTGGATGATCTATGGTGTTAACACCATTGATTTTTTTCTGGTTAAATTACACATTTATATAGTAGTAGATCTCAGCAAGTTATATTATAAAACAGTTAATACCTCATCAAATAATAAACAAACTAATCAAAATTCTATATTTATAATAGAAATTTAATCTCTCGTTATCTTCCCATAGGCTGTTTAAGTGATCTTCTATAATAATGGCAATTGTATTTGAAATAATGACAATTGAATTATGTGTTTGCTCTGAAGCACGTAATTATAATCTGCTAGGGAGCAAATAACGATTGTTAAATTTATATACAAATTGTTGATATTTGTAAACAATTAGATTTTCAGTCAAATAATAATACAATAATAAGACGTTGGTAAATTTTTAATTTATTTAATGTCTCTGGGAAACATACATAGAATTCCCCACAAAGCAAATATGCCATTTCTATACCACATTGTAAATGAAAATACCTTTAAAATCTGCTCATATAAACTTAAATTGACATCATTTTGGTCTGAACGCCCCTCCTCCCCCCCTCCCCTCATTGTCAATTTTTGTCAAACTTCTTAGTACCCCCTCCCCCCTCCCTATATTTACTGACATCATTTATGGATGGCCTAATGAGAAGGATTATTAAGAGAACCTTATGGAAGCTCTAATTGAGAACAGCAAATAAACCAAGCAGCAAGTCCAACGAAAGTATTAGCTGCAAACCAATTCAAGTGTAAAAAGTGCCGAAAAGTTTTAAGCAAAACTTCAGCAAGTCAAAATATGGAATGGTACCAGTGTGAAAATTCAAATTGCAAGGTTTGGCAATGTCAAACATGCATACCAAAGCAATACATAAAAAGTGCTGAGTTTTATTGCACCAAAAAGTGCTGCACAAGTGAAAACTTAACTCAACCTCTAGTACTTTTAAACAACACAACATCATCACAAGAATAAAAAAGTTTATTTTATTTGATTGATTTTTTTAATTGTTATTATTAATTGTTTTTTTATTTGTTATTATTGATTACTTTTTGTTTTTTAATAAAGTGTTGTTTTAATTACACTTATATTTGCGTATTTCCGAATGTCAGTGTAGAATGCAATAAATTTTTTTTTAATCAAATAAAGTTTTATATTTTTAAAAAACTTTTAAAAAAATGTTACATTTTTATATATTTAAATAACTAACTGTTAGATTTTTATATATTTAAATAAGTAATTGTTAGAATTTTATATAATTAAATAACTAATTGTTAGATTTTTATATATTTAAATAACTAATTGTTAGATTTTTATATATTTGAATAACTAATTGTTAGATTTTTATATATTTAAATAACTAATTGTTAGATTTTTATATATTTAAATAACTAATTGTTAGATTTTTATATATTTGAATAACTAATTGTTAGATTTTTATATATTTAAATAACTAATTGTTAGATTTTTATATATTTAAATAAATAATTGTTAGATTTTTATATATTTAAATAACTAATTGTTAGATTTTTATATATTTAAATAAATAATTGTTAGATTTTTATATATTTGAATAACTAATTGTTAGATTTTTATATATTTAAATAACTAATTTTTAGATTTTTATATATTTAAATAAATAATTGTTAGATTTTTATATATTTGAATAACTAATTGTTAGATTTTTATATATTTAAATAACTAATTGTTAGATTTTTATATATTTAAATAACTAATTGTTAGATTTTTATATATTTAAATAACTAATTGTTAGATTTTTATATATTTGAATAACTAATTGTTAGATTTTTATATATTTAAATAACTAATTGTTAGATTTTTATATATTTAAATAAATAATTGTTAGATTTTTATATATTTAAATAACTAATTGTTAGATTTTTATATATTTAAATAACTAATTGTTAGATTTTTATATATTTAAATAACTAATTGTTAGATTTTTATATATTTAAATAACTAATTGTTAGATTTTTATATATTTGAATAACTAATTGTTAGATTTTACGGCTCAATACTCTTTAAAACTTAAAAAAAAAAAAATCTTATTTTCGTAAAAAATTAACAATTAAAATCCTTAACTATTCCATTTGACCACATTTTAACTCTATATTTTCTCTCTTCCTTTTTTTCTCTTTACTTAAGTTTTTTCATAAAGAAATTTGATTTTCAAAAAAACTTAATAGAGTTATAATAAACATAATATATATATATTTTTTTAATGTGAAATTCATTTTTTTGCCAGTGTTAACGATGAAATCTATTCATGCATATTTTATGGATTTAGTTTAAAATCAAAACAGGCAAACCATATAATGTATTGATTTTTAATTTTATGTTTTGCAAAAAATTTTGAATGTTATAAAGATAAAAATAGGAAACGTAGAGCAAGTATTTTATTAAATTTTTTAAGCTTTTTATTTTAAAAAGGCAAAGAAACAATGATTCAGTTACCTAAAATTACTCAATTTGAAAATATATTAGCTATTATAAATATTAAATAATTTTTGATATTTGTTTCAGCCTCGACCTGAAATAAAAATTTATCGTCCACCATCTGATCGATCAGCACCAGCTAAAAGTAAGTTATTGTAAGTCTTATCAAATTAAAAAAAGAAAATTTAATTTTAAAATTGTAATTTTTTTGCAGGTGAAAAAAAAGATACTGATAATGTTAAAGGAGAGAAGGTAAAATCTATCCGTGAAAAAACACGCGATAACTCGCGATCTACTCGTTACGACAAATATGATAAGTCGCAAGGTGAAATTAGAAAGAAAGCCGAACGTTCCACCGAAAACGAGAACCGTTCGTCTAGAGATAATAAATGCGACAATTCGACTTCTCATGACAGAACCGCAGAAAAAATACTTGAAAAGATTAAGTCTGATGTTAACAAAAGTTATGACAAAATATCTGATAAGGAAGAAAAAACTCCGAAAAAAACAAATGCTGAAATTGAACGAGATAAAGAATTGGAACAAGAAAGATATCGTATGAACTGGTTAGTTAAACAATGATTGTACTAAAAAGAAAAGTTTTTAGTTTTGTTTTAAAAAGAATCGTTTAAAAGTAATTTATTATAAACCTTTTGAAGCGAATTTAAGCCTAATTTATATATTGTGCATGTATATTTAAAATATAATTTTTCATTTCATAAGTATTTTTCAAATTATTTAATTAGTGGTACGGAGCCTGGTTTTGTATTCAATTTTTTTTTTTAAATGGTGCTGTAATATAAACTATAGTATAAAGGTTGATTTACCAATGATCCGTAAAAATAATTGAAATTGCCCAATGAGGGACTCGTAACTTTGGACTTATATTTTATTATAATATTATTTTAACGTCTATATGTTTTAAACTTAGCCTATTAAAAGTTATTGGTACGCCATTTGCTAGCTTGTTAGTTATTAAATTCGAAAAATGTATAAAAAGTTATCTCAACTTTACGCGCAATAACGCAAAACCACAAATAATGCAAAAATGATGACACATTTAAGATGTGCAACAAATACTATTATTATTATTATATTAATTTGTTACAAATTTCAAAAAATTTGTAACCTTCCCGAAAAGCTTATAATCTGGAGCACTTATATCCATTTTAAAAATATTTTCAAGAAATTAAAGTATTTTGGGTTCCATTGAGTATTTAAATTACCTGTAAACATTGGCACAAGCTTGAAATTTTAGGTAAGATTGCAAATTAATAATAAAGACTGATAAATATCAGTACCTACAGTATCGTACAAGTGCAACCAAATAATGCTTATTTAGTTTCTTTATATAAAAGTGCTGCATTTTTTCAATTTAGAGAAATAACTATGTAACTGTTTAGAGACAACGTTCTTCAAGTTTTATTCATCACAAAGTTCATTATTTGTACACGAAAATTAATAAATTAATCAAAAGTATTAAAAAAAGTTGATTTCCTTCTGGACAAAACAAGTGCAACTCCACAAAATGTTGACCAAGCTGTATTTCGCTATCAATATTTCGATGTTTCGCTATCAATGTTCAATGTTGGTTGCAAATGTTTTGTCCAATACTGTATGGCACAGAACGTTCGTTGGGCGTCTTAAAGATTTAAGGCAGATGTCATACGGACGCCTGTACCCGCTTGGAAAAGGACTGAGAATTGATAGAAATAACAGGACGCGGGAATTTCCTAGTTACTTCTACCGTGTACTGTAATAAGTATAATGATTTGGATAATCTGTTTTTAAGAAAAGCCTGTCGTTTGAGATTTAAAAGTACATTTTGAGCAAAACGCAAAATAATATACCGCTAGGTTAGAATTATTTTGTTTCATCTCCACTTTTTTTTTTCACACTTGTGCATAAGAGTTATTTGGGTTTAGGTGTTTTTTAAACAAAAACGAAACTCTTGGAACATCGCTTCATTTTTACTTGACGAAAAGAATAGTAGTACGTTTGAAAAAAAAATGTTGTAAAGATTCCAGTCACAATTTACTATTTTTTACTTTTTTTTTTTTTTTTTGGTATATATTTTCACAACTACAATTTGTAACTATTAGTCACAATTTTTTTCACATCATAGTATAAGCAAAATTTACTACCGTTACAAAAGAAAAAACCAAATACTGTTAAAATATATCTTACAAAAAAAAAAAAAAACAGAAAAAATAAGATTCAGTTAATTAAGAAAAAATTTAAAATAAATAAATAAAAAATAATTTTAAATTTAGGAAGCATTAATAGAATATACTATGAGAGACTTGTTAAGATAGATTATATTGCTATAGGGAATTCGTAGAAGACTGAATAAGTCTCATCATCGAGAACCTTGGGGTAATACGCAAGATACACATAAGCATTCCTATGCACAAATATTTTAAATATTATTGTGATAAAATTTTGTTTTGTCTTTTCTAGTTGTATTATGATTTGTGTGCAATATTTTTTTTTTTAGATCTATATTTAGAACAAGATTTTTAACTTTTGATTTTAAAGAAAATATATTGTCAGGAAGAGTAATTAAAGTGTATTTCGGAATTAATTTTTTGTATAAATAGAAGGGCCGCGGTAAGAGAGAATGGAGTTTTTTTTTTTTTTCGGGGTACAATAAAGTTTTGCTCTTGTGTTAAACTTATTGGTAATTGAATCAAAGAAGTTTTCTGTTAATCGTGATGGAACTAATCCCATTTTGTATTTTCGCATAAATAGCATATATATTAGCATAAATATTAATTTGATAAATGTTTAGCGCTTTCATTTTTAAAAATAGAGATTTTGCATGTTTATGTTTGTTTTTATGATATATTATTTTAAAAGCATGTTTCTGTCGTCGATAAAGAGACATTAATTTTGTCTTGTGTGTGCTTTCCCAAGCAATGTTAGCGTATGTAAGATGACTATGTATACCCAAATAGTAAAGAATTTTCTAGTTTTTTTTTTTGTGATAAAAATGGTCTTGCTTTGAAAAGTAAACCAAGATTTTTATATACTTAAGTGTTGATGGCTGTCCATGAAACATTTTTGTCTATAACCACTCCAAGAAATTCAATTGTTTGGGTACTTTCAATATTGTTAGAAAGGTCATTAATGTATATGAGGGACAATAAGGGGGCAAGAATTTATCCCTGTAGAACACCACATTTTATATTTAATTACTTTGAATTAGAAATATCGTCGATTATGACACATTGTTACCTATTATTTAAATAACTGGTAAACCAATAACTAATTTTGTTTTTTATATCATATTTTTTCATTTTTTCAATCAGAATTTCATGACCGTATCGATAGCTTTTGTAAGATCAATAAAGATTCCAAATACAAATTGTCCTTTATCAAAAGATAAGCTGATGTTGTTCATGAGGTCTATGATTGCATGCTCAGTTAAATGATTTGTAAAAAAACCGTAGTAAAATTCACTTTAAATTTTCGATTTATTTTAATAGTTGTCGTTATTCAGGATCTTTATTTAAAAACTTTTAGGTTGCTTGTTTGCTCATATTATGAAATAAATTAAATGGCTCATCAAATGTTTAAATTAATTTTAAAGGTGATTAAAATATTATGAAAGGTAGAAAAGAATTTAATAGTTTTTTAAGTTACTTCTAAATAAAGCCTTTAGAGTTAAAATAGGATGAAGTATGATAAAACATGATAAAGTTAAAATATGATAAAAAATGAAGCCTTTTAAAAATTCTTCTTCCTGTTAAATATATAAAATTAAATGAATTTTTTTTTATCTGTTTTGCAAGCATTATTTTAAGTAAATAAAGAAAGTGTTTCTAATACAAAATGCTGAGTAAATTGTACAACAACAATAACTAAATACATGCCAATCACAGCTAAGATAGAATGCTTTAAGAAAATTATTTCAAAGAACTCAATTTTTAGCTCTAAGAGTAAATACAGAATGCATCGAGCAATTTTTTCATTATCTATCCAACATATGTATTATAATTTTTTCGTACGTTTCAACATCAGGTAAAAAGTATTTTAATTTTGCTGTATTTTAAAAATTATAAACCTAATTTCTCAGCAACAACTTTATTTTTTCAAACATTTGATTATCAAAATTATCTTGGTAAGAGCAAAAAGGTCTGACTTTTAAAACTCATTTTCATTGTATTTAAGGAAAACTTTGTTTATCAAAGAAAAAAAAATTACTTTTGCATTTGAAATTTAAAAAAATAAAATTACCTTTTGAAATTTGAATTTAAAGTGGTCAAACTTTTCTCGGTTTCCGGTTTTTAAGCAACCATTTTATTTTTGAATAAACTGTTTCACTTTAATTAAAGAATTAATTTATATAAAATTCGACCTTATTATAAAAAAAACTCTAAAATCTTTTTTTATTATTTAAAATTTTTTGCACTTAAGTTTTTAATTTTTTTATACTATTTACGGTGTACCAACTTTTAATAGCGATTTAATTTATTTTGTATAGTTTCAACAGCTTTATCCGCAGTAATAAGAAAAGTTTCAACTACGATGATTTCTTTTTATTTGTTTTCAATTACTTTAAAAATACTTTAAGACTTTTATTATACAAATAAATAACAGAACTAAATAGAAAAGTCGGAAAAGTGACAAAAGTGCGATAAATGTGGAAAAAGAGCATAATTCAGTATTTATGTTAGTTTCATTTCTTACTTTCTACAATTGATTGGAGTACACAAAAAGTCTTTTTTTGTGTTATTGGAAAAACATTGACGTATTTTGCATTTAACAAGAATTTGATTTGGCTTTATTCCTCGAAATGCATTAATTGGAATAAGCAATTTTATAAATGATCCTTTAGATTCAGCAATTTCTAAACCATGCAATAAAGGACATCTAAAAAAAAGCACAAAATAGCAACATTAGGGTGGAATGCAAGAAGCAAACTTGAGTCAAGTTCACTTCAACTTTATTTTGTAACCAATAGCGGCAGAGTATTTTTTAGGGAAAAACCAATACTCTGTAGCTATTGGTTGCATTGTAAAGTTCAAGTCGAGCTTGACTCAAGTTCGCTTGCATTCCACCATAGAAAATTTTAGTTATTAAAGCAAATTAAAAATTCAGTTTAATAAAAACTCACCCATTACTGATGATAGTGTAGCTGAATTGTTTGGACGATTGTGCTCCTGAGTTTGCAGTACACTGTCTCAACAGAAGTGTTGCATTATGGTTTTCCGGTAGTTTAGATTTTAGTACCACCAAATATTTTTCATTTTCTGATTTTAATTCCTGAAATGAGCGAACATTAATTCTGTTTTCACTAGGTTTATCTTTTGAACGGTTGCTGTGAAATATGACTTGAAATTCATTTTTATTTTGTAAAAGGTAATCACATTCAAAGGGCACTTTAATGTTACGGTAACGAACTATAATGTTATTTTCATTCTCAACACTTCGAATGGCATTGCTGTATATAACTGACGTTAGAGTATAAGCCACTTTAGTTCCGCATTCGTTTAACTTTGTATGAAATATGAAATGTGTTTTATTTTCTTTTGGTTTACAATTCGCATCAAATAGACTTATATGTTTTCCGTTTGTCCGGATGAATGATTTTAAGATTTCAATCGTCATCGAATCAGCCTTGCAAGATATTCGACTTATGTTAGGAGCTGTAAAAAATATTTTTAAAAACCTTTTAAAATCTTAAAAATAAAGTTGTAAAAAAACAAAACATCAATAGCAATACTGCGTTAAACAATTTTGTGTAGCAAAGTGGCAATCCTAGGCCTATTCCTAGCTGCAGTGTATTGCTTAATTTTTCTTTATTATAATTGCAATGAATTACAATAAAGAATCAGCGCAGCTAACGAATACTCAAAATGTCCTCAATTTAACCCTAACTGTAATTTTGCTTAACCCTAACTGCAATTTTGCTTAACCCAACAACTGCAACAAAAGAAAAAAAAGTTCATACTTAAAGACCAGTTAAAAACTCAATAAAGTAAAAAGAGCTTTTTATTAAAAAAGCGTAACAAAGCACCGCGGAAGAGCATTTAACAGGAAGTTCACGCCTCCTTCCGTACCAATGTCGATTGTAGGCTAGAGCAGGCGTCGAACCTCGGATCTCTGGGTTCTGAGCCAGAACTCTCACCACTGCCCCACGGCTGCGGTTTGGTTGCTATGGATACCTTATTTTGCATAGCAACAAGTTATTTCTGGGAGTTGCAGGTTTTTTATTTATGCTATTTTCACTACACTTGTTATGCGTATTTATATGAAGTCAATGATACTTTTAAAGGTAGTAAATACGTTAAGCCCGTTCTCCATTGCGCTTTGGAGAAGCAGAAAAGTTCTTTGAGCATGCGCAAACAAATTTTTTAAACCCGTTCTCCAATTAGAACTTTTCGCGCATGCTTAAAGAACTTTTCCGCTCCTCCAAAGCGCAAAAAAGTTCTGAATGGAGAACGGGCTTAAGCTAAGTACTATTGCATTTTATTCTTTAAAAAACAAGTTCATAAATTTTAAAGTTACCTATACCGTCGCAGTTAAGCATATGCTATTAAAAACATATTTGTTGTGGTTTTACAAACAATAAAAGTATTTGACCAAATTATTTAATCCAAAGTTTATCAAAAAAATATTTATCATTGCTGATAAGTTTATAAAAATTAGGCAATGCTTTTAAGGTAATTATATTTTTTTTAGTATAACAACTATCATATAAATTCATGTACAAAATATTTATGAAATGTACAGTCTAGTCTTTATTTTAGAAAATGAAAAAATGTGAATTACACCATTATATAAAAAAAAACAATTTTAGTATTTTATCTAAAGATATATTTTAAGTACATATATTTGCGGTAATAGTTTAAAAATTGGATCAATTTATTGTGTTGTATAAACGAAAATGGAATAGATGCAAAAGAAATAATTTTTTTTTTGAAATGAAATTTAGCACCTGGTTAGATAAGGGGCTGTCCATAAATGATGTCAGAGATTTTTCTCAATTTTTTGACACCCTCCTCCCCCCTTTGTCAAACTCTGTCAAATTTTGGCCGACCTTCTCCTTATATATGATGTTATTTTTGTACCCCCCCCCCCCCCCCATGACTTGTATATGCCATTTCTATACCACATTGTAAATGTAAATAACTTTAAAATCTGCTCGTAAAAACTTGATTTTTTTTTCTATAACTGACATTGTTTTAGTCTCAACATCCCCCCCCCCTTTCCCTCCCCATTGTCGATTCTTGTCAAACTTTTCAGTACCCCCTCCGCCCCATATTTACTGACATTATTTGTAGATGGCCCCTAAAGACTTATATGCAAAAACTAAAAAGTTAAAAAAAGGCGGAAGACCGAAAATTAATCTCAATAAAGCACTAATTGAAACAAAATAAAGAAGAATAAGCAGTTTAATGAAAGAAAATACACCAGAAGAATTATTACTTGCTGCAAGTAAAAAATGTAAAAAAAAATAGGAAATTTATTGGGCGCAAAACATTTTCAGTTGATAAAGCGCTTGGTTTAATTTTAGATTGTGGGCTGACTAAAATTGCATATCAACTTGTTAGATCTGCAGCAGCAATTAAAGACCACAGTAACTTGTATCCAGTATATAATAATGTTAAAGAATCTAAAAATCCAGGGATTGTTTTTTAGATTAGTTCCTTTACAAAGTAATGCTCTTTCACAAAGTTATTTATCAAGATTAACGTTATGATCAAAAGTTGGTTTTGATGGTGCAACAGGTCAGGCAATATACAAACAATTTGCGTCAAATCAAGATGTACGCTATCTTAGTATTGAAGGAAGCCTGTTTATTATCTGCTTGGTTCCATAAGAGTTAAGTGGATTCATTGGTACAGAAAAAAAAGTAATCTGGCTTAATCATGATCCTTCTTCAAAAATGTTTTATAGAGCAATAAGGTTTAGATATGTAAAAGAAACCAATGAAGTCATTAAAGCAGAGGAACAGTTCATTGAAAGTCAAAAAGTTGAGTCCATCAATTTTGGCATGCATCAATGTTATCCATTTAAGATGAATAACATTGATGCATGCCAAAAATAAAAGTTACGATTTACAAACTGAACTATGTACATTATCCTGTGGTCTAGATGTTGATGGTGATAAATTCCAAGAGTATTGTTTACAAGTTGCTCGCACGTATTTCCTTGGTATTACATGCCAGCAAGTATTCATAAAATTCTTTTTCATTGTCATTCAGTTATAAGAAGAATGTTTCTTCTAATAAGAAGAATGTCTCTTCTAATATGTTATCAGAAAAATCTCAAGAAGCAACAAACAAACTTTTTTAAAAAATCGTGAATATTTTAGTCGTAAAATGTCCAGAGTGAAGAATAATGAAGACTTACTAAGACGACTACTATGTTCATCTGATCCATATATTAGCAGTTTGAGAAAACCAGTATCAAATTCTAATAAAATTCAACTTCCACATGAAGCAATTCAATTATTAAAAATTTTCAAACTTTAAACATGATATCTAAGCTACATTAATTATTAGAAATTTTGTTATTTTAATTTGAATTATTGTTGGTATAGCTACATTGCAGTGTTTTATAAATAGTTTACAATTACAATGTTTTATCTTTGCTATAAATGTAATATAATGTTTACCACACTGGCGTAGAAAACAGGGGGCGAAGAGAACTTCGCCCCCCCCCCCAACCAACCCAAAACTTATTAATACAACCAATACAAATCCTTATTTTTAAACTTTATTATAAAGTATGTTATAAATTTTTGTGAATATAATATAAAATATAAAAAAAAAAATAACCTTTACCCCTCCCCTGACATAAAAACCCGTGCTACGATTACAGATTTTGCTAAGTATACACCATTAAAATAAATATTGCAGTTGTAGTTGCAAACAGTTGCAAAAAAAAATTGCATACATTTATTCTTCATAGATATACACATTATGTGGGCTACATGGTTAATTTATCAGTCGTCATTTAAAAGTTCAAGTTGTCAGTCGTCATTTAAAAGTTCTAGAACATTTTCAATTAATTTTTCATGAATAGTTGAATACAATATAAATTACCGTATACCAACTTTAATAAATATATCATTTAAATAATATTTGGATCAAACTTTAAATTATTGATGTACTAATGAAGATTTACAAGAATTATTTAAATTACATGTTGTAAAAGTAAAATGGATCAGATTTAAAAAAACACATAAAAATTACAATTTTCAACATAAAAACAACAGCAATGCAATTAATGCGCTTTTAAACCTAAATTGATGTAAAAAAAAAAAAAAAAAATCAGCGTAATATAATTTTAATTTAGTTAGTTAAAGACTTTGCAACAATATACGAAAAAAAATTTCTTATTTTTTCACATTTTGAAAAACAGTTTTGTCCACTATCTGGCCCACTATGCAATGCGACATTTAGCCAAGATATTAAACAAAATAAAAATGTCACAAGCGTTCGAAAAACTACAATATCCATATCATTAAAATGTTAACAAATTAAGATAATTTTTTATGTTGTTAATTTAAAAAAACGTTTTAATAAACAAACAAGCCATATTATAATGGGCTAAATACTATAATGGGATAAAGTAGTATGCCATCTCGTCACCTTTTTATGAAGTATAAACCATCCGGCAACTTTTTTGTAAATCTTAAATAACAATGATTAGACAGGATGTTATTTTTAATGTTGCCATTCTCCTACCCTTGACCACAATTACACAGTAGTATAAAATTTTCCAACATAGGTTGTCTTCACCACAGCAAAAAGCTGTGGTGAATACACCCTAAAGATGTTATACATTTCTGAGATAAGTAGTCATTGCTATATAAAATATACTAATTGAGCATAAAAGATAAAAATCACAACAAATGTAATAGGCATTTATACATAACATATTATAATTAGCCACTTACCCATACACGTTCCTCTTATTAATCCAATTTTTCGACCAGTTCTACACTCTTCTGTCCTCAATTCGCATTCATTATTATAATCTTTGTTGTTGACTTCTCCGCACACAGGTTCTGAAATCATATCTATGCATTTTGGGCAGTCACAAGATGCTACCCCTTTTTCATAAAAACATGATTTTCCAAAAGGACACTGTACCATATGACACATTTCTAAAATCATGTTTTTGTAAGAAGATGTATTTTTATGTTTTGGATTTTAGTTATTTTTAATTACTTAATGAAAACTTTAATCAAAATACAAATAAAAATAAAAATACTTTACGTTACGGTTCAAAAAATATAACAGGGACTAAATGGATTATAAGTTTTAAGTTTCTTACACAGGAAAAAGATGAAAACTTTTTTTTTTTTTATGTTGTAGAGTATTTTAAGCTGTATTTAAATAAAGATTTAAGTTTTTATCTTTTAGTTTATGAGCAACTTCATTTAATAAAATTTTTTTTAATCTACCTTTTAAGAAATACTTAATTAAAAAAAGCAACCATTGATGATGATGGTTAAAAAAATAAACATTGGTAGCCATAAAATAACATCCAATTGATTTAATGAAGAATATTTTATTCTTGGACGATCTTGAGTCGTTGAGAAGTTCTGAAGCTTGAGATAAGTTGTCCATTGTGAGGCACTTTAGTGCAATAAAGCTGTCTCTTTTACACGTATGTTTAATAAAATTGAATCTTGTATTTTAAATCTTTGCATTGATAAATTGATACTCTATTTTTACTTGTTACAGCTTCGTCTAAAATTTTTTTTACACTTAACTTAGTTTGGTGCTGCTGTTGTCGTTATTAGAATTGTTGTTGTTGTTGTTTTTGAAGTCGATGTTGATGCTTGATTTATTTGACGGTCATTGTCAAAGTAAAGCTTACGTTGCCTGCTTTGCCACCTATTTGCTGTCTGCATCTTTCAATCTTATGAAAATTTTAACTTTTTTGAAAAACTTTTCATTTGAATCTGAGCGCGTCTACATTTTTTATTTTTTGTGTCAACGTGTTGGATGCAAAACAAAGCTGCGACAAACTATTTGACCGATTGCAGCATTTGAATTTTTTTTGAATGGCCGGTGTTACTACAATGTTAAAAGTTAAGTAAAGACAAATTAATTTTGGATTTGGAACTAATGTTGTAAAATGCATGCTAATGCTAGATGTTGTTGGCGTAGATTCGGAAGCCAGTGGTTAAAATGGTGCAGTTACTGATGGTGGTGGTGGTGTTACTCGCATATATTCTGGTGACCAAGACTCAGGTTTCAATAATGGTGTGTTAAACGTATTAGCGATATTTAATTTTTTAGGCTTAATAATATTATTTAATGATACACCGGAACCGGTATTTTTAAACTTAGTGACTATTTCCAAGCGTGTAAAACTTTACTAAAGCTAAATGTTTTTGCTTGCAGTCAAGTAAAACATTCTTTTGATAAACTGACTAAAGTTGCTTAAGTAATATCGTCAAACTGATTTGATATTCGATGCAACTCCATTCCAAAAGATAACCTGTGTCGCCTTCTGCTGAAATATGAATATCTTTGATGACTATTTCAATTAATTGATTTTTTCATTATTGTCAAACAATTTTAATTATGTTTAGCACCATTCCTGCAAACTATGTATTCTTTGTCTTGCCTTCTCTCATCACTTTCATAAAAGTTTTATAAATGGCAACCCAGCTAGCACACTTACGTTAGGCGAATGTATGTAAATACGTCGCGAACGCCGGCTGTTTTCTCCAATGCAAATACAACGTTGATCCAATGTTAATTTTATTATAATTGTATTAATGAAAACCTTAATAGTAACGCGATTAAAAATAGATAGCAAAATTATATTGGTCCAACATATGAAAAAACATCGCAAAATTTAAATATTTTTCCGATCTAAACACAATATTGATCCAATGTATATGGATTAACGTTGATCCAATGTTTATAACCCAAAATTAGCCAATGTTTATGAATTAATGTAAGATAATATACAACGGATCAATGTTGATCCATATACATTGGAATAACGTTGAATTATATACAGAGGATCAACGTTGAGTTTGCATCGGAAGAAGACAGATACACAAATATATATTTTCTAAATTTATAAGAATTATTTTTCATTCAAATATTTCAGTTGATTATGAAAACTTCATTTGCTAATATATATTTTTCGTTCTTATATAACGAAATATCAAGCCACAAGCAAAACAAACATAAATAATCTTTTGAATCAGATGCAGTAAATGAAGTATTGCAAGCTAACGTCATCAACAATGCTAACTGCATAACTTTTAGATTTAAAATTCAATTTATTCTGTCATATCTTAGAATATCTTATAATGTTATTTATGTTTTTTTAATAAAATAATGTATAAATGTATTGTAAATACAAATTGGTCTTCGACTGAGAAACGGTATAAACAAAAGATTAAAAATAACTTAATAAAAAACTCAATTAAACTTAATCGAAGCAAAGTTTTTAAATTTCAATTAAATAAACTCTTTTAAAAAAAAGACTAAAATGTCCAAATAATTTTCTTTGAAACTTATAATTTAACATTTGTCTTTCTTTTTTTCGATTATTTATGTTTTTAACGTGTAACAATTGACCAAAACTATAAAAAAAAAAATTATATAAAAAACCATTTGTATCCTCGTTAACATCACAAGGCATTTGCCGGAGGAGAAAAATAAACTACAATACTCTAAATCTATTCAAATGGATGCTATATACATGTAATAAGTACATTTATAGAAATATATATGTGTATATTATATAATATGTAATGTATATATATATATATATATATATATATATATATATATATATATATATATATATATATATTAAACTAAAAGTAAATTTAATTATAAAAACTAAATATAACGTAGTGCAAGCATAAAATATAACGTTGAATCATTTTGAATTACAACGTTCTGCCGACGTAAAATATAACGTTGTACCAACGTCGCATTTGTAACTAAAATGATATAAAAACAACGTTGGCGGTCGATGTTGGGCCGACACAACGCGCAATATTTTGACGTTTTATCAACGTATCTGTGCAAACTAGGAAGAAGTGTTTTTGTTAAAATATGATTTGTTGAATTCACTTTACAGTTTGTTAAATTAGTTTGTTTCTATTTTGTAGGTGAAACTAATTCTGGTAGATTGTGAATGGATCTAATACTTATAACTCCACCAATTGATGAAAAGGTTTTACCAAACTCTCTCTAAAGTACTGTTGAAAAACATATGAAATTGATCTTTGTGTAGCAAATAGTTAAAAACTTGCATGATGACGTCATTATAAGTTCTGCCAAAACCCCACTAGGATAATTCGTAGAGAGTATTTGCCATATATATTCAACAATTTGAACCAGGGTTGGTTCAAATTGTTAAGGCAATTTTTTCGCTTGATCCATTGCCAATGTTTTTACTCACTCCGTGAAAAAATCTCAAAATTTATACCTTATTCAGCTTACCAGATGCAACTGGTATGCTGAATGGGTCCATTTTTTTAAATTTGAGGTTTTTTGTCCGCTGCAAGTCCAACTTCAGTGTTCGGATATTCTTTTTTTTTATTGGCGGAAGTTTATGAAACATATTTTATATTAGATCTGAAGAATTTATAGAAATTCATTGTTCAGTTTAAACACAACTAATTAATAAAAGCCCCATTTACCAGGCTAATAATTATGGTGTCTATCGACCCCATAGTTCCCCGCTTTAACTTGAAACATTTACATTGAAATAGCAAATTTAATTTTTAAAAAAGATTTTCGGCGTAAAAAGATTCTTGAGCGGCCTAAGAAAGACCGACGTAAAAAAATATAAAAGTTTAATCAATAATTATTAAGAGCTACAGAATAAAAATTGTTATAACTATTTTATTATATCTTCTATTTCTTTATTGTAAAAAAACTATGGGTATCATTAATTCTCTTGTTTTTGGTTATTCAATATTTAGCTACTTCGTCTGAATTGTTTTATGCCAAGGGAGTTTAAAAGTCAAACAGTGAAGTAAAGTTTGCTCGTTTTGAGGCATAAAAAATTTTAAACTAAAATGAAATCAGTTTAGTGCCATGAGTGGAAACCATAATGGGGAGAATGTGATTTACACTTTATATGTATGCTAGAAAGTTTTTTTTTAGTTTTTTCTTAAACTAGATTCATAACCCATGAAGCAAATCATTTATATTGATTAACTTACCATGTTCGCAACGACCAACGAGAGCACCTATTTCTTGAATTTTTCTGTTATTGTGTGTTCTTAAACGTCTTACCATACATTGCAAAGCTTTTCCGCACTCACCTCCAATATGATTTCTTCCTCCGCATCTTTCGCCCTCAGTTTTAGCACAAACCTTTGTTTAATTAAAAAAAAAAAAAAAATTTTTTTTTTTTTTAATTAAACAACTTTTAATTAACAATTTAGCTTTTTATATATAAATTACTATAAAATATAATTTATTTAGTAATAAATTCATTTATTACGTCATCAAACAATCATATTAAAATTGTGTAAACATTTACGTTACAGCAGTCGCACGCGTCTTTAACTTTTCCTGATAAACAGCCAACTGGTTCTATACATTGAGTTTGATTACAGTTACACCTGAGTTTATAACGATAACAGTTCATAAAGTTAAAATGAAAACCAATAACAAGAAAGAGTAGCCATTTTTTGACATACATTTTTAGAGTACAAATAAAGCTCACAGCGTACAAAATTCAAAACTAGAAAAAAGTCAATAATAATAATTTTACAAACAGAATAATAATTCAAATATTTAACATTAATTATTAATATCATTATTACAGTTATAATATTTAAAAAATAAAATAAATTTGTAATTATCAAAAAGCTTATCAGTTTTTACTTTTAAAATTTATACGCCATCATTTTCTTTTTGATTTTTAATAACTTGTTCAAATAAAATAATTGACAATATACCTCTTTTATACTTAACATCATCACTATTATTCTGTACTTTGTAAAGAAATACGTATTCTGTGTTTCTTAACAAAGTACACTGAACCTACATTGTGCAAAGAAGTAACTTATGTTAGGCAAATTTAAACCTAATTATTATCTCATTAAGTTATAAAAATACAATAATGAATGATGTTATAAACCTAAATCAACTTAATGACATTACTTTTTTTTCTTTGTTGAAAATATATCTAAAAATGATTTGCTATCTGCGACTACGCAGTTGCAATTCAAGAAAAAGCAAGAATTGAGCAAGAAATAAATTCTTCGATCAATCAATAAATTATCAATCCAATAATTATTAAGGATAGCTAAATTTAAAACTGGTTTAAAACAATTGCTAACAAAAAAACAAGATAAAATAGTATAAAATTAAAAAACACTTGCCATTATTGATATCCTAAATACAAATAGATTTTTAAACTTTAGGTTTTCAATTGGTGAGGATTTTTGGGTAATATTACGTCATAACACTGTAAATATACTAATTTAGATGAATAAATGCTCATAAATATTTATTTAGATGACATATTTGTCAACACTAAATGTTCTTGACAACGTGCTGGAGACATTGACACGATCATGTTTCATTTTTGTTTGTTTTTTGTTACCAATTTATTTATATTTTGGCGAAAATTTATTTATAAACGATATTTAGATAAATAATTTTTTATGTAGGATTTCTTTATTTGATTACTTTTATTTGTATTTAAAGCGATAAATAAAAAAAATAATAAAATAAAAACTAGAATTTAAAGTAACACCTAAGTAAAGTTTTGAATGATAACATTTTGTTTTCAGATATATTTGGTTATGATTGATTCATGCTAATCCTTATGGATTTATGCTTATATTTTCACAATGAAAAATCTTTGATTGCGGCTTCTTATTATTCTTATTGTGGCTTCTTGTTACATGTTCAAGAATGAAATTTAATTTTAATGTAAGTTTATTGTAAAAAAGTCTTTTTTTGTTTTATTGTTGTTTTTCGGTTCAAAATTTGTTTAAGATTCTTTTTAAATCTTTGAACTTGTTAACTCTCGATAAAAAAGATAAAAATTATTTATGCAAAAGGTTAAACAAAAAGTAGTAACACTGTTTAGCCAAAGATTAAATAAGAAGCTTGACACAAATAAGTACACACTTATTAACACCATTAACACAAATAAGTACACACTTATTAACACCATTAACACAAATAAGTACACACTTATTAACACCATTAACACAAATAAGTACACACCTATTAACACCATTAACACAAATAAGTACACACCTATTAACACCATTTAATCTTGAACATCTTCATATATTACTTAAGAAACTTGAGACTACAAAATATATCAATATCGCTTAAGATTATTGTTATTGACATATTAAGCAATAAAAATATTAATTAAGTATATTAACTAAATATTAACTAAGTATATAGTATGTAGTTTTTACTTTATTTCAAATCCCAAATATATACATATATATAATATACCAAATATATACAAATATATACACAATTTTACATATATATAAAATTGTGCATTTTTAGGCAAAATTTTGATAATGAATGACAATACAACTGTTCCCGACAAATCAAATTCTCACATTGCAACATTTATGTGTGTAATTGCACTCAACACTTATTACATTTTGCAACTTTTAATCGTTTACCTGTAGTTACTTGTTCTTCTGTTTTGCTGTAGTTGCTCAGCATTGTTTTGCTCAGACTTGACATAGGAAAAACCTTAAAAAATTTTTTATTGTAATTTTTTCTTCATCTTTTTGTTTGAAGAACTGATCACATTTTCTTCGAAAATACATTTTCCGCCAAGTTTTACCTGTTGCACTGCTTCAATATCTCAACATGCGATTGATTTCTGGCATGAAAAAATTGCTTAACCTCTATCTTGATATTTTTGCAACGCTCAACACATGCTTAATACCTACTAAAAATTGTCGACAAAGATGTCGGTGAGTAGTTATAGAAGGTGCTGCGGTGGGTGTTAAAGATGAGGACTTAGCAAGGTGCTGCGGCTGGTGAATTAAACGTTTGTGCGATTGCTAATGCTTTATGATATATGTTGCTTTTTTGAGTGGAAATAAGTTAGTGTACTGAAAACCAGCGATTGCGTGCAAGCATTTTAAATTAAAATTTTTCTGATGACTTCAATCTCTTTTAATGTTTTATTTTTATTTTATGTCAAACCATTGTTTTTATATTAAAATTGTATTTAAAATTAAATTATATTTTGTATTATAACTGCTAACAAACAATTATATTAAGTTAATAAATAAAAAACTATACGATAATACAAAATTAAATTTTTTTTAACAAAACGAATTATTTATAAAATTATTACTTCAAAATAGACCAACTCCCTTTTAAATAAATTAACCCCTGTCGGCGAAACAAATTAACTCCCCATAATATTTTATCTCTCTTGGAACAACAACTTGTACTAATTACGAAAAAAGTATTTCAACTTTATGTTTTCCAAATGTGTTTGTTTTTTAAATCTGTTTATTATTTATTGATATGGATATAATAACAGTAGCACTATATATATATATATATATATATATATATATATATATATATATATATATATATATATATATATATATATATATATATATATATCTTGAGCATTCTTAAATATTGATACATTCGATATATATGCATATGTATATACATATATATCTAATACTACTATCTATAACTATCTATCTACTATCTATAATATCTACAAACTTGTTGCTCTGTTCTTTTAAGAACATTGAGTACTCTATTTTATAAAATACATTTAAAATTATTATGTATATACAGGGGCGGATCCAGGATTTTTTTGGTGTTTGAGAAACTAACTTCCTGGCATAGAGCAAACACCAAACATTTATATTTTTATACTTTTGTCAAATATGGATGCTTTGCAAAAAAATACGATGATTGGAGTCTGGGAACAAAAAATCCACATTTTATGCTTTTCTGTTTATTATCAATAAATATTCGTTAACCAGTGGTGTCTATGTTCACTAAATTAGGTCTCAAAAATAATAGAATTTTAGGAAATATTTAAATAATCAGTGAGAATGTCTTTACCTACTAAAATCTAAAACTCAATTTTTTCGGTAGCGCATAAAATAGATAAGCGGCTATTTGTTTCTCGTCTGGCAATGTGTCAAGTATGGTTTTCATTTCGCGAAAATAACAATTACTATTTACAAAAAATAGCAGCTAAAATATTAATGATTTCACCGTTACGGAAATGTATTATGTTATATTATAACGGAAAAGTATTATTCTATAATAAATTTCCGTAAGAAATGTGAAACCACTGATAAAAAAATGCGACATTTGAAAAACCTCAAAAAACACGTGCGCATTACGTGCCCGTAATTTACACGTGTTTTTGATTTATGTCTGGATCATGTCAAACACGTGTCTATAGTGGTTTTAATTCCAAAAAAGACACTAGATGTGCCGGTTGGGTTAGTTTATAACGCGTATGCGTTAATCTTATTTCCTTTAAAAAATATTCTATCATGTTAATGTCAAGTATCTGCAAAATTAATTAAACGAATGCGTGTTTCTCGCAACGGAAAAAACGTCGTAGATTACTTTTGCTGGTGCTTCTCCCAGCAGTAATTGGAGACTTTTATAAATGTGAACAAATAATTATTAGAATTGCGTAATTTTTTTTTTTTACTTTTAATTGGCCTTGTAAAAGATTCACTTTGGTGCAAGTGAATTTTATGTTGTTGTATCCACATGATGTTTTTGTCAAAAATATAAGGTTTTCTCGCTATAAACCTAACAAGAAATTTAGATGCTCTTTCTTTCATAAATAAAAAAACTCTTTAAACAACTCTTTTCTTCATTCAATGCAACTCCTTAAACTCCCATCAACTACTTTAATTTAAGGACCAGCAAATATTCATTGAAATTCGGATTACGAGTTGAGAGAGGGTTATAACCAATATAAGAAGTAGCTTCCTCGACTAAAGTGGCCCACTCGGCCTTGGGAAAAATTTTTTTTTTTGTATTTATCAAGATGCTCCCAGAAGTCCTAACGGCTTTCCACAGAGCACCGCGGGAGAGCATTTAACAGAAAGTTCACGCCTCCTTCTGTACCAATATCGCTTGTTGAGCTAGAGTTAGCTAGTTGGGCTAACCCTAACACTAGTGTCTAACCTTGGACCTCTGGGTACAAAGCCAGAATTCTAATCACTGAGTCACGGCTACTCACGAATTCAGTAAAAAAAAAAAAACATGTTTGAAAATAAATTTTTCTACAGAGTCAATATTTGAAAAGTCTTTTTTAGGCACAGAGTCATCACTTATTAAATCTTATTTATCGATTTCAAAAAATCCTAAAGGTAAAAAACAGGTGAATACTTAACCTAATATTCTTAACTATCTTTTTCCTTTATAAAATTGAAAATTTCAAAATTTTATAAAATTGAAAATTTCAAAATCAAAATTTTTCAATAAAAATTGTAAATGCTTTTTTGTTCATGTTCTTTCAAAAACATAAAGAGTTGTAATGTTTTTTTATTGTTTTGAATTATGGTTAATTACAAACTAAAAAATAATAATTTTAATTTATAAAAAATGATTATACAGAACACAAGGTTCTGTGCCACGGACACAGAACCAAGACACTTAGGATTCGAAGCAAGCTCTGTGCATATTTTGTACCATCGCACAGTGAATCGACTCATATAATCTAGCTGGACAAAATTCAATTCAAGCAACCAATTAGTAGATATTTTAAAATATTAATTAACGCACGAGTTTATAAGTGTTAAATCATTAGCGCTCAAGTGTCACTTAACGATAAACATATTTTTGTAAAAAAAAAAAAATAGCAGCAATTTTGCTGTGAAACAATAACGTATAACTAATTTTTTGTAAATAATAGTTAACTCTGCTGTGATGAATCTTATATTAAAGGGTATGTTAAAATTGCAATTTCTTTTTCGTTTTTTAATTTTCAAAACGTGTAACTAATTTTATCCAAGTATATTTAGGCTGACTTTTTTATATATTATAACTACAACTATAAGGCGTCTAAATATAAAAATTTGGCTGCCCACGACTGCCCGTTTCATTTTTATTTAATTTTTTTCAGACCAAATGTATTCTATTACAAAATTGAAGTTATTTGAAAAATGGCAAAAACATACATGCTAATGATGAGTTTCTGTTTTTGTTTGAATTTGTTCCGTTGAGATTGAATGATGACTCTATTACTATTGTTTGGCAAAATCTGAACTGAACTTCTTTCAACACTGTTTACTGTTGGTGAATTTAAATTAATTGTGAAACACAATCTGTTACTTACAATGATGGACGTAAAAGTATACAATGCTTTAACCAATACGCCCTCCACACAAAAATGTTATATTTGTGGTGCTACTCCAAAAATGATGAATGGTGAATTAAAAGTTATGGTTGATAAAAAATAAAAACAATTTTAGTCTGTCTAACTTGCATGCTTAGATACCTACTTTTGAATTCTTGCTACACATTAGCTACCGTTTAGATATTAAAAAGTGACAGCTAGAGACAATGAGGATAAATATCGTATCAGAGAACGTTTGAAAGAGATTAGATAAAAGTTTAGAAAACTAATAGGGCTTATTTTGGATAGACCAAAAGCTCATTATGGTAATACAGCATGAGATTTTTTTTTAAATCCAAAAAATAGCAGAATTAGATTAGACGAATAGGATTAGACGTCGAAAGATTACAGGATTAGACGTCAAAAGATTACAGGATTAGACGTCGAAAGATTACAGGATTAGACTTCGAGTTAATTAAAAAATTTAGTGTTTTATTAAGAACGCTATTTCCTGGCCGTGACATTGATTGTGTCAAATTTGAAAAACTTTGTTTTGAAACAAGAACTTTATATTTACATTTATATTCGTGGTGTTACATGCCTG